AAAAAAAAAAAAAAAAAAGAGAAACTTATAAGCACCCTCATCTCATCTGATTCACAGTATTCAAACCAAATTATCAACTTTGCTGCAATTAGAAAAAAGGCACGGATTTTTCCCTTACAATGAACTCAAATCCTACCAGGAGAAAATATCTCTTAATAAACCGAAACCATGCCTAAAAATTGTAAAGAGTTCCATAACTTGGATCACAACAAACACCCCTCTTGTTTAAACGAACTGAATTCCTGTTTCTGAAAAACTTCGTTTTCGATTTTCACTTATCAGGTAGTTCTTTGTTATTATGATTGTTCTCAAACCACCAGTTACACTAAGTTCGAATAGATATTGTTTTTTTTGGTATGGAATTTCAATCTTCAAATACAAAATGAACTTTTTTCTTTCAAATTTTTTGCTTTAACATACAAACGGCGAACATGTAGCCATCTGCACGAACGTGAAGTTAATTAACAGTACAATCTTTCTTTTAACCACACTCCCAAAATCCATTCTCACAATACACATTGAACCATAGAACTCAAACCTAAATTATTGACCTAAGAACACCAAGAATATCAGAGAAAGTTAAATAACCAAAGATAAATTAGGCATGGATAAACTACATAAGTCAAAAATCAAGTAGGAGTTGAGAAGAACCACATAGGTGCCGGCAAAATCTTTCCGAAGCTGTGAGCATCATCAAATGGATAGTGGCACGGAGACACCGTCTTTTTCTCATAATCAAAAATGCCAATGTCACGGCCACAATTGACGTCCCCAAAAACATCAGTGAAGTAAATTGACGCAGGCTTGACCGGGTACTGGTCCGCCGGCAAAGCAACTGCATTGCTGTGGCGGCCAACAAAAAGGGTCCACCCACCCAAGGACAAATCCTCCACGCGCTTAAGATCCCCCTCGACAGGATCGTATCTGTCAACATCAAAATCAACAGTCACATCCGGAAGGCCTTGTTCGTAGATTGAGCCTGTGGGGTCATCATTGGAGTCAACGTACAAAC